GTGCTTTAAAACGCTTACTTTGAAATAATTTACAGAAGAGTTGCCGAGATGGTACATTTGCTGTTGTGGATTTGGGGCTGCTCCCGGTGGGGCTCTGGGGACCGTGCGGTGCCAGGGATCGAACTTGGAGGCCCTGCATGCAGAAGTTCCAGCCCTTTGTGCCCTCTGCTAGCACAGCCCCCAAAGACTACGCAGGAGGCTCTTGGGGAGAAGCTGTTCCCCAGCTTCTCCCAAAGCTTCTGTCTTACGTAAGCGTGGTACATTGCTCACAAGAAAAAAAAATTAACATTGACAGAGCACTATCAACTAAAATGTTGACTTTTGAAAAATATACCATTAGTTTTCTTTTTCCCCCCTACTCTATCAGGAGCTTGTGAATCACATATATACAGCTGGGCGGAAAGAGAGCACAGTGGTTAAGACCTTGCACGAGGCCAACCTCGGTTTGATTCCCTGGCACTGCAGAGTTCCTCGAGCCCTTCTGGGGTGATTCCTGAGCACAGCGCCAGAAGGAAATCTTGAGCACAGCTGAATGCTCCCACACCCCCAAAAGCAATAAATAAATTGAAATGGTGCTTATGTCAGCCTGAAATGGAAACAGCCTCTAACCCTTTCCCTGTTCTCTTTGGTCTTTGCAGAATGCCAGCAGTTTGGGATTCTGACATTTTTCCATGGGAAGCCTATTGCTGTGGGCTTGGAGGAGGAAGGGCTGGGAGGGAAGAATCCTTTCCCATGAGGACATAACAGCATGCTGTCACTGGGGAGTGACCTTGGTCACCGCAAGCTGCTACTTTTGTATGCTCCCTTTTTCATATGCTTCTCATTAGAAAGGAGCCTCGACGCCCACCTCCACACAGAGGAGGGGAGTGACATGCCAAGAAAAGTGTCATCTAAGTTGTGGACATATGTTAAAGCCATTTTTTTTCATTTCATCATCCTGTTATTCGTCGATTGCCTCGAGCAGGCCCCAGTAACGTCTCTTTCATCCTAACCCTGAGATTATATTCAAGGCTATTTAGGAGAATGAGACCCATCATTGTTACTGGTATTTGGCATATTTGGTATGCCACGGGGAGTTTGCCAGACTCTGCCCTGTGGGCAGGCTACATTCGATAGCCTGCAAGTTTGTCCAAAGTAGGAATGAGATGATAAGATGTCATAGAAGATGTCCTGATAAGATGTCGCGCGGCCACCATATCAGCGATGAATGATTATTTGGGGGTGATTCTTGGAGGCCAAAGAATTTTATTTTGCCTAAAATTTCACCCATCAATTTTAGCATTCATCAGAACTTATCCACAATAATAATTTTTTGGAGGGGAGTGGGGTTCAAGTCCAAAGGTGCTCGAGCTACTCCTAACTTGGTGCTCATAGGGCTTTCCTGACAGTGCTCGGGATCATGTAGTGCTGGGAACCGAACCCATGCCTCCAGCATGCAGTCCCTCTTGCCCTTCTTTGTAGTCTTTTTTCCCCTTCTTCTTTGTAGTCTTAATGGTTATTTTTATTTCCGTCTGTTTCTTTACCCCCCCCCCCTCATCTATTTCTCTCTCATTTCTTATTTGTAATTTATCTATTGGGAAGCTTTATCCCTTTCCTTAATTTTATGTATTTGTTTGACTTGTGGATAGTTTATTCTCAGTGCTATAAGATTTATACTGTCATCATCATCATTATTAGTATTTTAAATTGCATAAGTTGCTCTAACTTTGCCTTTGGAAGCTCTTTTTTTATTGTTGGTTTTTTTTTGGGGGGGGCACACCCGTTGGTGCTCAGGGCTTACTCCTGGCTCTCCTGTAGGCTTGGGGTCCATATGAGGTGCAGGGGGTTGAGTCTAGGTCACTCACATGCAAGGCACATACCCAGTCCACTATACTATTGCTCCGGCTTGGGAATTCCTTCAGTAGGTTTCTTTTCACAGGTCTTCATCTTTCTCTGTACCCAGATCACTTTCCTTTTTGTGGTGGGGAAGAAGGGTTTGGGCCATACCTAGAGGTGCTCAGTACTTACTCCAGGCTTTATTCTCAGGGATCATTCCTGGCAGGGCTCAGGGGACCATATAGGGTGCCGGGGGGATCGAACCTAGGTCAGCCGCATGCAAGGCAAATGTCCTACCTGCTGTACTTTTTTCTTTTCTTCAAGAGGGTCCAACTCCTCTTGTGATTTCTCGGCCCTGGCCCCAGAACTAGTCATTTTTTTCTCAGGATCACTGCTTCCTTTTGTTGGAGAAAGATATTTAGAAACCAAAACCTGAGTTCCAGGTATGTTCACTACACCTCATCATTTCTAGGCTTCTAGTACCAAGTTAGGAAAGCTCTGCAGGCTGGTATGTTTAACTTTATTTTTACATCTGCTCACGTTTGTGGTATAACAAACATGTTGCATCAGTTCCCACTGTACCTCCAGTTCTAATACAGTTCCACAGCATTCACTGTTGTGTTTCCTACTTCCTTATGGTCGCTTCTTTCTCTGACAGCAAGAAACCTGCCTTGCCTTATCTATATTGACTTATTTGTCCAGCTCTTACACAATTCAAATCATTTCAGAATTGCCAATATACAGTTTGGTGAGTTTACTCATTTACCGAAGAGAATCTAATATTTGTATAGGGAAAACTTGAGGGGAGGGGGAGATAGTTCAAAGGACTGAGTACAGACCTTTGCTTTGCATGCAGAGTTCTGGATTTAATCCCTAGCACCACCTGATCTGAGCATTGCCAGAAAGTTGGGAGTAGCCCCTAAAAAGTGGGAATGACCCCAACCACAAATCCCAAATCCCCAAACGAACAATTTGTTTTGTTCTGTTTTGGGGCCACACCCAGTGATGCTTAGGGGTTACTCCTGGTTCTGCACTCAGGAATCACTCCTGGCGGTGCTTGGGGACCTTATGGGATGCCAGAGATGGAATCTGGGTTGATCAGGTGCAAGGTAAGAATCCTACTCACTGTACTATCTCTCTAGTTACCCACAACCTACTCACACAATCAACAGATTTTTTTTAAACAAGGAGAACATTGTTTTCTGAAGTTAATTAGGCCAGTTCCTTTCTGCCCCACCCCCTTCAGTGAGGTCACACATAGTAATGTTCATGGTTCCCCTGACCTCATGATTCACTTATTTGGTGATGGTGTTGGTGGTCGTGTTGTGTGTGTGTGTGTGTGTGTGTGTGTGTGTGTGTGTGTGTGTGCGCAGGTGTGAGTCACACTAGCAAAGTATAACTACTTTCCTGGTTCTGTGCTCAGGACTGACCCCTGTTGGTGCTCAGAAAGATCATATGCAGTGCTGGGCATTGAACTGGAATTGGCTGCATGCAAGGCAACACCTTGGCACCTATACTATCTCCCCAACACATTTTACATTTCTTTTTGGTGGGGGGATGCACACCTGGTAATGCTCAGGTTGCTCCCAGCTCCACACTCAGGAATTACTCCTGGTAGTGCTCAAAGGACCATATGGGATGCCAGGGATCAAACCTGGGTTGGCCAGGTGCAAAACAAATGCCTTACCCACTGTACTATCACTCTGACCCTTGTTTACTTTCAAAAATTTATGTAAACCTGAGCATTGATGGGTGTCCTCTTCTCCTCAGTAAAACAAGACAAAACAAAAACAAAGACAAAACCCAAAATCTCTATATAAAAGTCACTCATTACTCCCTAGGTTTTTTGTACATGGGTTTTGACAAGCTCATAATCATTCATTTGTTTCCACAGTGCTTTTAAAAAGTTCTTTATTACTTATTGGGGCAATACCAAGCAGTACTCTGGGCTTACTCCTGGACTTATGCTCAGGGACCCTATGTGGTGCTTGGGATCAAATTGGGGTAGGCTGCATGGAAGGCAGGTGCTTCCCCCTTGTATTATCTCTCTGACCTGTCCCCTGCTATAGTCAATCACATTATAGAACAGCAATGTGATTATGACTTGCCTTGTAATAAATTTCTCTTCTTCCAAATTAGACAGCCATTGGTTTCTTTCCCATTTTGGAGGTGGCAGGGGTGCCCACCCAACTGTGTTCTGGTTCTACTCCTGACTCCGCACTGATGGAACCCAGATTGGCCATTTCCAAGATAAGAGCCTTACCCACTGCACTATCTCCCTGGCCCCTAACCTGTTTTCTCTCCCTCTGGTTTTGCCTTTTTTAGAACACCATGTAAATGAACTCACACACTTTGTAGACTTTCAGGCCTAGCTTCTCTCACTTAGCAAAACCCATGAAAGATTTGTCCTTGCTGTGCATGAACCTCATTCTTCAAAGAAGAATACTCCTCCTTCTGTGCTCTAGGGTATGAATAAGCTCATTAATTGGAACAGACCTTCGTTTATTTATCCATTTGCTTCTTAAAGGATATCACAAGTTCTCTCTAGATTTGATCACTTATGAAGAAAAATACAAAATATAAACATTCAGGGAGGGGATTTTTGTTTTCAGTTCCCTTGGGTAAATACCTCATCTGGCATGGGTAAGCTGTGTAAGTATCTGTTTATAAGAAACCATCAAACAACTTCCCAAAGTGAGTGCTGTGCTTTGTATCTCCTCAGCAGCGAGCGAGTTTCTGCTCTTCCGCGTGTGCTCCCGCAACGCATTCGGTCATCCACATTCTTGCGAAATGGAAAGCTCAGCATCTGCCTTCCTTTTGGCCTCCTTTCCTCGACAAAGTACTCCCATGCTGTTGCTTTGCGGTCAGCTGGTAATCGTGAAGGCAATGACTTCAGACTACTTCATATTTCCACCAGGCACTGAAATCCCATCCCATCCGCGTTAGCGTTAGGACATGATTTTTTCCAGCAACCCTTCTTAGGCAGTTGTGAAGAACAAGAGCTTCCTGCTTTAAGAGAATTCCTTTCTGTCTTTACCCGAGCCTCTTACCTCCCTACTCAGCCTGGCTCTTTAACGGAACCTCAACAAACAAATCCCCTGAAATGCAAGGGTGGTCCAGGGTGGTAATACGGGTATGGTAGGATGAACCAACCGCCCCACATGCTTTTCCATCTGGGTGGCTGGGCCTTGGTGCATCAGGAAGGAGCTGACGAGGGCACCGTGTCCCTCCATCTGACCACTTGCACATTCTCGTAGTCGTGGCAGTCCTCATTTGACATCTTTTCTCCATGTTTCACTGGATTGTCCTCGCCCTGTGCAGCTGGCTGGTGAGTCACTTGGTCCCCTAGCGCCAGGAACCTCTCTGATTGCACAGCCAGTTGGCCGTGGATCCCTGACTCATCTGCCCCGCCCTCCCCATGGTCCGTCCTTGGGAAAGTCATTTCTTCCTCCACCTGCTGCTGTTGGTTGCTATGGTGAGCTGCTGCTGGGATATTTTCATAATCTCTGCAGCGCTGAGATGCCACACAGGGCTGTTTCCCCTGGATGACCCCTCTGTCCAGTCCCTCCATATTGACATAATCATTGGAGGTCTCAGAAGAAGCATCCCCATCGCTGTCACTGCTCTCACTTCTTGGAGTCCGAACACTGGAGCAGTCCCAGATCTCGTCCTGGTCTCCTTCCTCTGTGAAGACCAGTTCCTGGGCACCCAGGGCGACAGAAAGGCTCTCACGGGTGCTGCTGATAGAAGCTCGAGTCTCAGGAATCTCCACGGCTATGAGGACATTGACGTAATCGAGAGAATCCTCTGAGGAAGTGCTAGGGCATTTTCCGGATGTTCCACCATCGACGTCAAGTGCAGAGGGAGTGTGGTTCTCACACATCCGGGCCCCCAGAGTGTTGTCATAGAAGCCCTCAGAATCTATTGAGACCTGAGTGTAGGATCTGTGAGCTGGGAGCACACTGCCTGCTTGGGAGGCCTGGAGGCAAAAGGGAAGGATAGGGACAGGTCAGAATCAGAAAGGTGAACAAATCTGTTCCTCTTCCACCACCCCTGGCTGCATCACTGATATTTCCTCAAGAGAAACTCTACACAGGCCTCTCAAGTTATCCAGAGGCCAAGAATGGACTCAGCTCAAGCAAAGCGATGGTGGGGGCTGGATGGCAGGCGCAACAGACTGAGAACGTGCTTCACAGGCAGGAGTTCAGTCTCCACTACCACATGGTTCCCAAAGAACCAAGCTAGGAGTATCCCTAAGGCATGGCCCCTTCAAATAAAGCAAAAGTAAATACATTTTTTTAAAAAAAAAATTGAAGCAGCAGTGTCATTGCTATAATAAATTGCAACTGCTTCCTGGTCACAAGGGAGTAGGTGAAGTGAGAAAATTAGAGGCAGGAGTGGTAAACGTAGAGGCAGGATCTTTGAGTGACCCATTCTAGGAGCTGAGCAAAGATGAATGGGCTATAAATCACAAGTTATAACAAGAACAAAACCAGTGAAAAAGTCTGATCAGGCTGCGTGAACGGGAACTGGGCCACAGAAACGATTAGTAAATATCTATAGAGAACTTGAAGCAAATGGTATTAGTCACTGATTGTACCCAGTTACTGTCTCTGTTAGGAACCGCGTTGACAACCATTGTGTGTGTTAAATGAAAAATGTTCCTCCCTTGGAGAAATGTAGCCTGTAACTGGCTAGTCTATAAATGCTCTTTGGGAGCCAGAGCGATAGGACAGCAGGTAAGATGCGTGCCTTGCACGATGCGGCCAACCTGGGTTGGGCCCCATTTAGTCCCCTGAGGCTGCAAGAAGTGATCCTTGAGTGCAGAGCCAGGAGTAACTCCTGAGCACCACCAGGTGTGGCCCCCAAAACAAACAAAAAAACTAAAGCACTTTATGAACTGTGTTCAAGGCTTGACCGTTGGGGCAGTAACCAGATTGGGTCTGCGTGCACAGATAAACTGGGAGGCCCTCCCTCTTATTTCTCCAAGTGCCAGTCTATTCATTGGTCACATTTCTTCATGTGTGTGTGGGGGTGTGGGGAGCAGTGGACTCCTACTTCTTTGCTCAGGGATCATTCCTGGTGGAACTTGTGGGGAAACATACATGGTGCTAGGGATAGAACCCAGATTAGCCACATGCAAGGTAAGTGCCCTCCCTGCTGTGCTATCGCTCCGGCTCTGCTGGCGTGATTTCCCTACTGGTGCCAGAGTACGCTGGGGCAGGGGGCACAATGGCTCAAGATTTCGCAGACTGAGGCTGCAGATCCCAGCGTTCACACCTTCTGCTGAGTTGGGGCAAGGTCCTTAATCTCTCTGTGCCTTAGTTTCCCAACTTCTAAACTGGGGGGGAAAAAAACCCACTGGACTTATCATGAGACTTTTGTGAAGAGTGATTCAATTGCTAAGAATTTAGAATATTACCAAGAGTTTGGAATAGCTCTTGGCACATGGAAAACACCCGCGCTGGCCACTGTTTTGAGAGACAGCTGACACATAGACCCCTGGGACCATTTAGACATGCTGGGTGGATGTTTCCAGAACTTCTGAATTTCCAAGAACAGCTGGGGCAGGGGAGATAACCCGAAGGGCCAGGGTGCGTGCTTTGTATGCCAGGAGACCAGACTCCATCCCCAGTCCCATTATGGCCCCTTGGGTGATCCCCGGAGCTTAAAAATGGGAGCTGTTTCTGAGCATCGCTGGGTGTGGCCCCAAAACAAAAGCAAGAAAGAAAACCTGAAACATCTGGACTTTTATTGCAAAGTCTCTTAAAAAGTTGGGAGGGAAAAATTTTAAGTTGGCAATTGGCTTAAAATGTTCTTCAAACAATACAAGAGTCCAAGCTAAACATATTTGTGGGTTCAAGTCAGTTCAGGATCTAAACTCAAAATGCCAAATCCTCTCAGGACCAGCCAAAACCGGGAACTAGCTTGGCAGGGTGGGGGAGGGTGATGGGGGTGGGGGGAGGAATTTCCTTTTCTCTGCCCCTTATCCGCCACCCAGACTTGCTGCTGGTCCAGGAAGTCAGAGGCAGGAGCAGAGTCCAAAGAGGGGGCAGTGAGGAGGTGACTGCCGGGTGGCTGAGCAGAGCCTTTGAAAATGAGGCCTGAGATCAGCACTCAAGCAGCAGCCTGACCATATCCTGAGGGGACCCCAAAACCCAGAGATAGTTTCTAACAAGCCAGCAAGTGCTGATCTCTGGCAGTGAGCTCCCTCCCCTTCCAAGTCTTCCCTGCAGCCCTCATGAGGGCTCCTCCCTGGGAACCCCCTTCTGAACAGCCCTACTCTGCGCAGCTACAGGACCCCAGGGGCTTTGGGGAGAGTGCAAAAAAGCCCAGATATAACTGGAGAACGCCCAAAGCAGAATTAAAAATTTTTTTTTCTATGTCACACCCGGTGATGCACAGGGGTTACTCCTGGCGCTGCACTCAGGAATTACCCTTGGCGGTGCTCAGAGGACCCTATGGAATGCTGGGAATTGAACCCGGGTCAGCCACATGCAAGGCAATCACCCTACCCGCTGTGCTATCGCTCCAGCCCCCAGAGCAGAATTTTAACAATTTTTCTTTCTTTTTTCTTTTTATGATTTTTGGGCCACACCCAGTGATACTCCTGGGTGACTCCTGGCTCTGGACTCAGGAATCTCTCCTGGCGGAGCTTGGGGGGACCCTCGGGGATGCCGGGGATGGAACTTGAATGGAGCCCGGGCAAGATTAGTGCCTTACCAGCTGTACTAAGGTTCCAACCCCAAGTCTTTGTTTCTTTCTGGGGGCCAGAACCCAGGGCCTTGCAACGGAAAGTTGTGCTTCACTCCTGAACTAGGCCCTGGCCCCTGAAGGGAACTCTGCATGCAGGCAGCATTGCTGGCATACCTGTGGCCGCTCCAGAGGGGCCCTTTGAAGGCAACAACACCCGCTTAGATAAGTCTGTTATCTGGTCTCTGTAGAAACAACCCAGTTCTGACAAGGCCTTGAAGACACTCACCAGGTGCTTTCGGACACTGCCCAGCCCTGGTTTCTCTTTCTTCATTTCCCTCCAGGGCAGAAGGGAGGAGGTGGGTCTTCCCCAGCTAGTTACCCCGGCCCCAAGGGGAAGGTCTGCTTTTTGTGGTGAAACAAGATCCCAAGCCTAGAACTCCTCCGCCTCAGCCTCCAGAGACCCTTACTCAGCCTGGGGGAGCCCGTCTCCCCCACCCTTACCTGGTGCTCTGAGGCAGGGCTACTGGAATCTCTGGAAAGGAGGCTCTCGGTGCTGGCAATCGGGTCTCGCCTGGCCGGGGGTCTCCCTGGAAGCACAGACACAAATCCCGATCACAGTGCATGTGTGCTTCCGCCCAGTGGTCCCCTAGCTTGTCCCCGCACTGTGTCGTGGCTTCGTGCAGCCTGGTGATGGGCCTGGGGCTCTGTGGAGAGACTGGGATAAGGAGCTGAGGGTTCGCAGCCCTTAGAGGACAGAGCAGGCCGGGAAGTGGGAGAGGCTTCTGGAAGGATCCTTCCTAACGTAAATGCGGCTCTGCGTTCTTGTCCCCCTCCCCTTCCCTTCTTGGGGACACATCAGGACCGAGCAAAACCCCACACCCAGAGGACCCTGCTCCCTCTCCCAGGCCATGAGGCTCCCTTCACCCCATCCCTGCTAGCACGGCCTCTGCCAGCGACCCTGGGCCCCCAGACCCTATTCTCCCCCATGCTCGCTGAGGGGCAGAAAAGACTGAGGCCTAGCGAGGGTGGCTTCCGGGCTGGGGTCGGGCATTCTGAGGGCAGAAGGTCTTTCACCTGGACTCCTTGGATTGCAAAGAAAAACCTACCCGGCGCTTCCTGTCTCCGGGGTAAGTGGTCGTAAATATTTTTGGCCTGTTGTCTGGATCGAGGTCGATTTAGGGAGGGCAGGCCCACAACTCGACGGTAACGCGTGCGCCCTGCCAGGCAAAGAGAGAATGGGGGGGTGAGGGTGGGAGTGGGGGTGTCGCAGTCGGGCGAGCTGCACAGATGCGGGGGGCTGTGAGGGCTGAGACAGACCCCGGGAAGCTGCCCTGCCCCCTCCAGGCGTCATAAAATGGCAGTTCAGGCCTGACCAGAAGTATAGGGCCGAGGGAAAAAGAGTACTGTGGGTTCTGAGCCACAGAACCACCCCGTGTTGTGCCTGGAGAAATATCCGGGCTTTATTATTTATTCAAATAGCACAATGGTTTAAGGCGTTTGCCTTGTACACGGCCAACATGGCCGAGCCGGATTCGATTCCTCCGCCCCTCTCGGAGAGCCCGGCAAGCTACCGAGAGTACCTCGCCCGCACGGCAAAGCCTGGCAAGCTCCCTGTGACATATTTGATATGCCAAACACAGTAACAACAAATCTCACAATTTGTTATGAGACGTTACTGGTGCCCGCTCGAGCAAATTGATGAACAATGGGAGGATAGTGCTACAGGAAAAGAAATTTTACTTTCAAGGATAGATGCTGACAAGGACACATTTTTTTTTTTAATCATACTTCAACTATAAAAACCTTGCTTTATTCTACCCTGGCATCGGGCTTTATGGTGACGCCAGCTTGCATCTGAGACAGCTCAACCGTCTCTGTTCCTTGGTCCCTAAACATCTCCCCCAGAGGACTAAGCTTCCTGTATGTTCAGTCAAAAATACCTGGCCCATCAAAGTAATGAATTAAACACATTATCTTACAGAAAGCTGGGAAATGAAATAAACTTGAGTCTGTGCTTTTTGGGCAGTGAATTATCTGAACCCTGTGCATTTCGGGGTACATTCTGGTAGGAAAACGTCTCAAAATCGAGCAATTCAAGAATTTTTAAGTCAAGAGACCCACCCAAAAAAAAAACTGTAAAAGTTGGTTTGAGGGCCAGAGAGATAGGACAGTGGGTAGGGCATTTGCCTTGCACGAGGCCCTCCTGGGTTCAGTTCCCAGCACCACCCGTGGTCCCCTGAGCACAGCCAAAGGTGATCCCTGAGCATAGAGCCAGGAGCACCGGAAGTAATACCAGGTGTGGACCCTCCTCCCCCCCCACCCCGTGGGGGGAAAACGTTGGTTTGAACAACTAGCAGTGGAGCTCTACACTGGGCTTTCCATCCTTTAAAGGCAGGCCAGACAGTAGATCCTAGGGTGGACCAAGAAGGGACTCACGCTTCTTCCATTTCTTCCAGTTCCACAGGGCACAGAGAACCACGATGAGGAGGAGGGTGAGTAATCCTGCAAACCCAGAAAAGAGGCTGCTGCTCTGGTCTTTAGTTCTAGAAGGAAAGACAAGTGCATGACCGGCCCCTGGAGCCGGGGAGGCAGGAGGAGATGCCTCCCCTGGGACGTGAGTCCTGGCTTTGGGTGGAAAGCCAAGGGGGTCCCGTGAAGGGGTGATAGAAGACAAGCTCGTTCCCGTGCAGCTGCTCTCAACAGAGATATGACAGAGGAGACCTATCGCTTCCACATGCTCGCCAGGTGCCCGCAGTGTACATGGGACCTGGACGCAGCTTTTACCACAATGCAATCTCTTTGGGGGGCCAAGGACTCCGAAACTCAGACTCGGGAAAGGCAGAGCAGCACACCAAAGACCACACAGGTGGGGGGCAGTAGAGATGGAATGTGAGTCTATGTCTGCCGGGTTCCCCAACTCTTTGGAGGCCAGAGAGAAAGCTTTGCATGCAGGAGGCCTGACGTAAGCACCTGCACTGCGTGGGCACTGAAAGAAAATCATGCCACATTGTCCTCCAAATTTACAATGTCACATCCGCCTTCTCAGCCTTCCCAGGTCCTGGGTTTCTGGCCCAGCAGGGTGTAGTGAGGGGTGTGTATGTGTGTGGATGAATCCAGTGTGCAGTGAAGGATGAGCGGCTCTGAGACAGAGTCCAGCCGTGTGCACTTGAGTAACCCCACTGCATCAGCTGCTGGAGCTGGTCTCCAAGTAACGCTTTGCAGCTATGTGGAATTTAACCGATGCCAACACAGCGAGCCAGTTCTCTAGTCCTTGGCAGCGCTTAGCAGAGCGAGAGTTACGGCTCGGCTCTGTAACACGAAGCAGCCAACTGAGATTATCGCAGGACTCACTAGCTGACCTACCGTTCCCACATATCAGAAACCCAGACTGGACAGATAGGATAGCAGTTAAGACGGTTGCATTGTGTGTGGAGGACCCCACGTCCATCCCTGGTGTGGACATAGGGTTCTCTGAGTACCTCTGGACTGACCCTTGAGTCACAGAGCCAGGAATAAGTCATAGCACTGCCAGGTGTGGCCCAACCCCCATCACCACTGAAAAGAGAGAGGAGAGAGGGGCGGGGAGAGAGAGAGAGAGAGAGAGAGAGAGAGAGAGAGAGAGAGAGAGAGAGAGAGAGAGAGAGCACATGTGGCCTAGGGAAGCTTTTGAGCTTTTTTTGGTTCTCCCAATCGAGGAGATTCATCCAAATCTGCACTGAATAATTTTCGAGAGTGCCCAGCCGACCTCTAACATGGGCCAAGCAGCACCCCTGCTCTCCCCTGTGAACCAGCTTCTCCGGCTTTTTCTCAGCTAGGGGCTTTACTAGAGACCCTCTTTCTTACATGTGGCACCTCTGGCCCGGCAAATCCAGACATCTCCGGTCCCCTGCTCCTCCTGCTGCTCTTATCCACGCCACTCCCTGCTTCTCATGGACCTGTACTGTGGGGTCTCCTGTCTTGGCACTCTCCCCCACCTTCCCTTTTGTTTTTTGGGTCACACCCATTGGTGCTCAGGGCTTACTCCTGCCTCTGTGCTCAAGGGTCCCTCCCGTTGGTGCTTGGGGACGGTTCAACTCAGAGGCACGCATATGAGGCGAGCGCCACCCCTGCTCTGCCAACTCTGGCCCTGACTTGCACTCTTGACCCCCACGGATCACTGTCATACCGCTTGATGCGCCGAACAGCCGATTGAAGCTCTCTCTCCCTCCTGCGTGGGTAGAGACGTCCATGGCTCCTGGACGTCTTAGTTTTAGTCCGTGAACTAAAACTCATTATAGTGCCTGGTACTCTGACTTTCGCCCCAAGGCCTTCCAGCTCCTGGCGTACACTTTCCTTGGGCTTCTGACCCCCAGGAGGCCCTACTGTTCCTTCCTGTCTCCCCAACTGCTGCTTCCTGGCCCGGCTATGTACTTAGCGCCGTCCCTCACGGAATCAAGTCCTTTCTGAAATGTCACCACCTCAGCCAAGTCCCTAGGACATACCCTCCTGCCCGCAGTCCAGTCCCGTAGGCTGCTCTGTTTTCTGTTTTATAACACTTAGGGCTAAACAGCAATAGTGATACACTTGTCTGTTTCTTTGTATCTGATGCTCCTACTTGAGTCTTCTTAACTGTAAGAGGTCAGAGACTTTTCCATCCTCTTCAAAGAGGCCTGGAACAAAGCCTGGTAATAAAGGTGTGGTGTGGTGTGGTGTGTGTGTGTGTGTGTGTGTGTGTGTGCGCGCGCGCGCACATGTGCACATGTGTGTGTGCGCGCGCACGTATGTGTAGAAAGAGTGCCTTCAAGAGTCTGAAAATTTTATGAATTCTTTTTTTTTTTTTTTTGCTGGGGTGATGCACAGGGGTTACTCTGGCTCATGCACTCAGGAATTACTCCTGGCGGTGCTCAGGGGACCATATAGGATGCTGGGAAACGAACCCAGGTCGGCCACATGCAAGGCAAATGCCCTACCTGCTGTGCTATCACTCTAGCCCTAGTTTCATGAATTCTTTCCCCATCAATGCTCTGTCTACCTGTAGAGAAAGGCCATGTGTCAATCGTGGTGATAACATTTATTTACTCAAACATTCACTATCATTGAGTTATAACACGAAATGTGTACCTAAAGTTTCAACTACCGATGGTCTTAATTCTTGTTAGTCTGATGTTGAACATTTTAGCAATCAGCTGTCCATTCACAGGTGATAGCTGAAGAGCTCAAGCTATGCATGCAGAAGTCCTAGGCGCGCGTGCGCGCGCGCGCGCGTGTGTGTGTGTGTGTGTGTGTGTGTGTGTGTGTGTGGTATGTTTCTTTCTTCTTGCTTTTTGGGCCATACCTGGCTTACTCCTGACTTGCACTCAGGGATCACTTCTGGTGGTGCTCAAGGGACCATACGGGGATCAAACACTCTAGTGGCTCAGAGTCCAGGACCCCTGGGTTGGGTCCTCAGCACTGTATGGTCCACTAGACATGACCAGGTGTGTTCCTGGAGCAGATTTCAAGCACCACCAGATGTGGTCCCAAGTCCCAAATAAAGAAGTAAAATTCATACCTATGGTTCGTGATTCTAGGTCCTAGACATTTCACCATCTCTCCAAAGACATTTTTTCATTTATGGCAAATTTTCAGTACCTTCAAAATATCCTAGGTGCTGGGGTGAAGGCAATTGCCTTGCCGGTGGTTGACCCCAGTTTGATCCCTGGCACCGTATCTGGTCCCTCACGGATATAGTGCCCCAGGAGGGACCACTGAGCACAGAGCCAGGAGCAGCCCTGATCACTGCCATGTATGACCCGAACACCAAATCCAAACCAAAGCTTAGAAGAAGGATGTCTTGGTTCCCACCGTGGCCCGAGCCAATTCCTGTTATTTATTTATTATTTATTTAGATTTTTGAGGCCACACCTGGTAGTGCTTAGGGTTTACTCCTGGCTCTGCACTCAGGGGTCACTCCTGGTGGGACTCGGGGGACCAAATGGGATGCCGGGGATCGAACTAGGTCAGCAGCATGCGAGGCAAATGACTTATCCACTACCACTCTAGCCCAGTTTCTGTGATTTTTTTAAAAGGCATAATTGTTGAGACCGAAGGCAGGAAAGAGTGTGGTCTGTGCTCAGGCCTCTGAGATGCGGGAACCCAACCCGCCATGCAGCCCATCTGCTGGAATCCTGTGCCCCCGGCCGTCCTCCCTCCCTGCTCCTCTTTTCCCTCAATGCCTCTGCTTTTCCGCCCAGCTGTCCCAGGCAAACGTCTCTGAGTCAGGGTCTGCGGGGGGTTTGAGTCTGATGGTGGGGGCCGTGGCAGACCTGTTAGAGCTGTAACCCTGTCCCAGGTCTGTTGGGGAAGGGAGACTCGCACTGGGCCCCAGCCACTCACCTGTCCAGGTTAGCTCCTTGCAAAGTGCTGAAAATGCTGGTCTCCGTGATGCCCCTCCAGCTTCTTGGCGGGGATGGTGTGGCGGCATCCCTTGGCCCCCGCCTCATGGAGAAGGCTTCTGCTTCTCTCCAAGTCCCTGCTCGATCTCAGCCAGCGTGTGTCCTCTTGCCTGAAGTTATTGGTTTGAGTTTTCTGTGTAGTGCTGTGGGTCGGCGTGATGCCTACTGCCTTTGGAGGCGAGAGCGTCAGAGTTCTCCTGGTTTCCGTGACTCTCAAAACACTGTCTAAAGCACAAGTTGTTTTTCTCTCATTTTGCTGGGAGGGGGGAGGGGCGGGGGCGCTACTCTGAGCTTGGCACTCCTGGTTGCTCCCAGGGGACCCAGAGGTGCTGGGGATGGAACGGGGCCGTGCCCACAGGCGAGTGGGCACCTGAACTGTGTCCTATCCTGCCCTTTCTGTCTTGACCTTTCCCACAGTGAACTCCCTACCTGTGTGTGGCCCCTCAAAGGTGAAGCTGAGATGCCTCCAAATAAAAATTACCCCGACGGGCTTCTTCTCCCTGGCTGGGCTCAGGGACCATGCAGGAGCTGCTTGCTCGGCTCGGCGGGGGTGCTGTTTGCTAGCTGGCCCTCAGGCTCTGGCGGCAGGCGGGAGAAGGTGTGAGAGCCGCAGACGGGGAGCCTGCCCAGCGGTGCCCAAGAGGCTCAGTGAGGCCATCTTCATCCTCCAAAGCTCCGCAGAGAAAAAGCAGAGCAAACACTGGGCCCGAATGGAAACAGTCAGTCACAGGAAGTGACACCCCCGACCGTGCTCGTGAAGTGTGGGCCCCAGGAAACGCTCTCTCTGTCCCGTGAGACTGAGCAAAACAGCTCTGCGCTGGGGTCCTGGGCTGGCCCGCGGGAGGGGCGGGGGGCAAGATGGGCCCGTTGGCAGGAGGGGCGGCTTTAGACACTTCATTTTGAAGCTTGAAAGAGTCTCATCTTTTCTCGGTAGCAGGTCTGCAGGGGAGATTTGGGTCTTGAAGCCTGATTGCCCCTAGTTCAGGGGAAGGAGGTCCTGGGAACTGGCTTTCATAGCTGTGTCCCAGCTGACCTGCACAGAGAGGCTTGTCAAACTGTTTCACACCTCCAGAGAGAGACAGAGAGAGGGAGACAGAGAGACAGAGAGAGAGAGAGGGAGGGGAGAGAGAGAGAGAGGGAGGGAGGGGGGAGGAAGAGAGAGAGGGAGGGAGAGAGGGAGGGAGAGAGAGGGAGAGAAAAGAGGGAGGGAAAGAGAGGGAGAGAGAAAGAGGGAGAGAAGGAAGGAGGGAGGGAGGAAGAGAGAGAGAGGAAGAGAGAGAAGAAGAGGGAGAGAAAGAGGGAGGGAGGGTGAGAGGGAGGGAGGGAGAAGGAGAGAGAAAGGGATAGAGGGAGAGAGAAGGAAGGAGGGAGGGAGAAAGGGAGGAAGAGAGAGGGAAGGAGGGAGAGAGGGAGAGAAGAAGGGAGAGAGGGAGGGAGAGAAGAGGGAGAGAAAGAGGGAGGGAGGGAGGGAGAGGGAAGGAGAGAGAGGAAGAAAGAGAGAGTGCAGGGGTTAAGACTTGTCTCGCACGCAGCCCAGTCCATCTTGTCCCTGGACTCCGGAGGGAACCCTGAGCACTGCCAGGAGCGACGCCTAGACCGCTGGCTGTGGGCCTCCCTCATCTCCCTCCGAAAGTTCCAGCTCTGGGGAAGCTCAGCTCCGGTGTTAGCCAGAAAGGAGCCTTGTGTGCCATCTCTTGCCGCCTGTGCGGTCAGTCTGGCCAGGCCTGCGGGTTGCTCTCTGTGAGAGCTGGGAATCCCCCTCCGCTCCCCCACCCAGCGTTACCCACAGTCCCACCCTTGGGAGATGGGCCCCATTGCTTCTCACTCCCCCTCCCACCTCCCCCACCTAAGGTCAGACACTCTCTTTGTGTGCTGGGTGAGAGTGCAGAGAGCAAGACAGGGTGGGCATGAGGCAGAGGGTCTGACCAGCTGCTCACAGGGCAGGGAGCCCCCGGAGGCGT